GTGTGTGTGTGTGTGTGTGTGTGTGAATGTGTATGTGTATGTGTTTGTGTGTGTGTGTGTGTGTGTGTGAATGTGTGGTTGTTTTCTTTATAGCAACAGTTTATGTTTGACATATTTCTTGTGTTAGAAAATTATATCTAACTGGAAAGAAAATGCATTTAATAAATTATTTTCATAACTGTTAAGAACTCTAGCATTGTCTACTTTGATAGAAACTTCCCATATTTGATTACGCTGCGAAAATGATAGTACTTACATCACTATATTTTCTTCACATAGAAATGATGATAAGAATTGTAAAACTATCATCGACAGTGGCAATGATAGTAAAAGGTAAGAATGGATGTAGCTTTCAAAAGAAATAATATTAGAGAAATCACTGTAAATAATATAAACAAAACTGCTGTATTGGCAAAATTAATCAATTTATAGTGTATTCGATTGGCATAGAATAGATAAAAATTTAGATAATATTACTTGATGTAGACCGATTTAATTGCACTGGTGGTATTCTACTAAACCTTAATTCATTTAACTATATAACGGCGACTTATACTTAAAATATTAGGATAAACAGTATATGAAATATAGTTAATTTCTGTCATATCTAAAAAAGTAGCAAAGTTGTACTGTCACGAAGAGAAAATCTAATATGTACGATGATATAGATTAATTAATCTTCATTAGAGGTACCGATGACTTACACATATTAAGAAAAGGTCTTTGACGATAATGGCAAAAATAATGAGTCAAATAAATTGAAGGCTGTGCAATAGGCCAGAGTGAGCCTCCGCCACTGAGCCCAAGTTAGAGCTGGTCTAAGGCGCCTCCCGATTGCAGGAACCTGGTGGACGAGAACTACGAGAACCAGAGGCGGCTGGAGAAGCTGATGATCGAGGAGAAGGTCGCCGAGGAGGCCGAGCGGCGGCGCAAGAAGGGCCTGCAGAAGAAGACCTTTACCCCGCCCATCTCGGGCTGCCCGTCGGTGTCGCACACGCCCCGCCAGCGCTTCTCCATTTCCCCGCAGCGCCTCGCGTCCCCGCCCGCGCAGGTGCAGTCCCCCGTGCAGCGGTTCTCCTCGCCGCCGCAGCTGCCGCTGTCGCCGGTGCAGCAGTTCGTGACGCCGCCGCAGGTGACCTCGCCCTCCGCCAAGTTCGCGTCGCCGCCGCCGACCTTCTTCTCGCCGGTGCAGTCCTTCTCGCCGCCGCCGCACCAGACGTCGACGCCCCTGCAGAGCGCCACGGCCTCGGTCTACTCCACGCCCCTCTTCTCGCCCACGCAGTTCGGGCAGGCGACCGCGCCTCCTCAGCAGCCGGGGACGCTCAGCCCCACGCAGCTGACGACGAAGCTGCACCAGCTGCAGTCGCAGGGGCCGCAGATGAAGTCGCTGAGCCAGACGAGCCTCCAGCAGACCTCCCACAGCACCACCTCCCAGAGCGTCTTCAGCTCCCACTCGACCTCGCAGGTGCCGGCGACCCAGAAGTCCTTCCTGCAGAAGAAGGCGAAGGAGCCTCCCATGGAGATACAGGACCCTCAGCTCCTGACGGAGGAACAGAAGAGGAAGCAGCTGCAGCAGCTGATCCAAGAGAAGCGCCGCCTGGAGGAGCTGATGATGGTGGCCAAGAGGAGGGAGTCGGCGAGCGAGATGCCTCCGCCGCCGCCCAAGGAGCCCTCCGTCGGCCCCCCGGAGGTCACCTCCCCGACCATGAAGATGATCGAGCTGGAGGCGCAGGAGGCGGCGCTCGAGCAGCAGGCCGAGGCAGAGGAGGCGAGCGCCCTCCCTCTGGCGCGCCCCTCGGCCTTCACGCCGTCGACGCTCCTGAAGCAGGAGGCGCTGACGAAGCGCAAGGAGGAGGAGGAGAGGATCAGGGAGGAGAACCGCCGCCGCGACGAGCAGATCCGGAGGATGCAGGAGAAGAACCTGGAGGAGAAGCGCAAGAAGGGCGCCATCAAGAAGTACGAGAACTTCTCGGTGGACGACATGCGGCGCGACCGCCACCGCCACCACGACCAGCGGCGCCTCAAGTCGGAGGAGCGGCGCCTGCCCGACGCGTCCGCCGCCGCCGCCGACCGGAGGCGCTCGGCGCAGGACGCGGCCTCCGGCGGCGCCAGCCCGCAGTGGAAGTCCGAGCAGGAGCTGGCGGACATCGAGAAGAAGAAGCAGGAGGCGAGGCTGAAGATCGGGGAGCAGAAGAAGCGCGACGATGCCAGGCACCTGAGGCTACAGAGGAAGCAGTTCGAGGCAATAGCGATGCAGGAGAGGAAGAGAGTCGAGGAGAAAAGGAAGCAGGAGGATAAAAAAAAATTGCAGGAGCAGTTTAAAAAGGATCAGCAGAGGATCCAGGAGGAGATGAAGAAGAAGGAGGAATCGAAAAAGCAAGAAGAACGGAGAAAAGAAGAGGAAAAGAGAATAGAGGAAGAGAAGAGAATTGCAGAAGAACAGCGGAGACTTGAAGAACAAAGAGCAGAAGAAGCGAGACGCAGAGAGGAAGAGAAGCGTCTTCAGGAACAAAAAAGAATTGAAGAACAAAAGAGAAAAGAGGAAGAGAGAAGAATAAAAGAACAGAAAATACTCGAAGAACAAAAAAGATTAGAAGAACAAAGGAGATTGCAGGAACAGAAGCGATTGGAAGAACAAAGAAAGCGTGAAGAGGAACAAAAGAGAATAGAAGAACAGAGAAGATTAGAAGAACAGAAAAGGTTGGAAGAACAAAAGAGAATAGAAGAACAGCGAAGATTAGAAGAACAGAGAAGGTTGGAAGAACAAAAAAGGTTGGAAGAACAAAAAAGGTTGGAAGAACAAAGAAGATTAGAAGAACAAAGAAGATTAGAAGAACAGAAGAGATTGGAAGAACAAAGAAGAATAGAGGAGAAGAAAAGGTTGGAAGAACAAAAGAGATTAGAGGAACAGAGGAAATTAGAAGAACAGAAAAGATTGGAACAAAAAAGATTAGAAGAACAAAAAAGATTGGAGGAACAGAGAAGATTAGAAGAACAAAAGAGGATAGAAGAACAGAGACGATTGGAAGAACAAAGAAAATTAGAAGAACAGAGAAAACTCGAAGAACAAAGGAAGATGGAGGAAAAGCGAAGATTGGAAGAGGAGAAGAGGCGAGAAGCGGAAAAGAAGGCGGAAGAACAAAGAAAACTTGAAGAACAGTTGCGCCAAGAAGAGAAGAGAAAGTTAGAAGAACAAGTGAGACTCGCGGAAGAGGAGAGAAAGCGGGAAGAACAAAGGAAGCAGGAGAAGCGCAGAGAGAAGAAGCGCGCAGAGGCCCAGAGGAGGGCGGAGGAGAAGAAGAAGGAGGAGGAGGAGAAGAAGAAGGAAGAGGAGAGGAGGAAGGAGGAGGAGGAGGAGAGGAGGAAGGAGGAGGAGGAGGAGGAGGAGAGGGCGCTAGCGGAGAGGAGGCGACAGGAGGAGGCGTGGATGAGGGAGCAGCAGCAGAAGGCGGAGATGAAGGCCAAGCGGCGGTACGAGGAGCAGGTCAAGGGCGAGGAGCTGCGGCTGAAGGAGCGCAAGAAGAGCGAGGAGCAGGCGGAGGAGCAGCTGCGGCTGGAGGACATGCGGCGCCAGGAGGAGGAGCGCATGCGGCAGGAGGCGCAGGTCTACGAGAACTACCGCCGCCACCTGGAGGAGAAGAAGAAGTCGCAGTTCTACGACTCGGACGACTACGCCTCCGAGTGGGACCTGCCCGACGACGAGGAGGAGGCGGAGGAGGCGCCCAAGGCGTCGCCGCACCAGGAGGAGAAGTTCGAGGAGCTGCAGGCGCAGAGCGAGGAGGAGCTGTACGAGGCGCAGGAGAAGTCCATCCGCAACCTGGAGCGGCAGATCCGCAAGCAGAGCGACCGCGAGAAGCGGCGCCGCTCCGAGAAGCAGCAGGGCGCGCGGCGGCCGCAGGCGCAGCAGGCGCAGGAGGCGACGGGGCCGCAGCGCTGGCACTCGGCCAGCACGGGCGACCTGCGGGCGTCGCGCACGCTGCCCGTCACCAAGTTCAGCCCCGACCCCATGGAGTTCGGCTTCCGCCCCATCGAGCGCCCGCACGCCAAGCTCTCCAAGTCCACCGGCAACCTCAGCGGCGGCGCGTCGGCGGCGGCGGTGGCGGCGGTGGCGGGCGCGGAGGCGGGCGCGGGCGCG